AGCCTTCATCAGAAAAGTTCAACTCCATTCACGGACTGTTTTGGGCATCTTAAACATTTTTGTTTTCAAAACTGTACAAGGTGAAAATAGTTCAAGTTTTTAGCTTTAAAATGGCTACTTGCACATCTCCATACGATTTTTCTACAATTTATGGTGATTTTTACAAAACTGTCTATCATTTCAAACAACAATCCGGACCAGTCTGTGATTTTGGACTTATTCACCCAGGTTGGAGGTCATTAAAAATCGTGATAAAAATTATGAGTAAACTAGACACATTTTGTGAACTCTCAGAATTTACGGATCTAGTTTTCGACTTCGTATGATTTTTCCAAAAACAGGGCAGAATGGCTAAAGTTAGCCAACAGCATGTAAATATCATAACACTTTATATTATGTTGAGCAAAGTGTATAATCATAAGTTCTAATATTTGAATGTGTTTCCTTGTTAGTTTATCATTATGAAATGAAACTAAGTCATTCATATTAAATATTATTCATTCATTTTAGAACACGTATTATTTAACTATAAAAAGTATAGTTTGATAAATTCATAACACTAATACATTCCCATAAAAGAGTTCATACATATTACATACATTTTAGATAAACTATAATAGGTATAGTTTATGATACATCACTCAACGCACTCGTACAAGAAGGGTACATTCATACAAGAAATATTTATATTCACACACATTTCACGTAAACTTGTTAACCTATATTGTGAGACTCTCTCTCTCTCTCCCCGTACGTCCGAGTGCGGGATATAATTCCTGGTAGTTATAATCAGAATCTCCTTGAGGGAGAACGTGATACTTGTATATAGATCTATATTGGGTTTGACACCCCACACCTTGCTGCTAGCTACAGTTGGACCTGCAGGTCTACGGGTGACAAATGTCATTTTATTTTTCGCGACACTGAGAACGTTGTGGCAGGTTCACATAGTCATAGTATGATTATAGCGACTCACATAGGGATATAACAATCCATAAGTTTACGGGATTTTATTTTTAAAATCTAAATGAGTTTTATGTCGATTTAAAATCACCTTTTTATCTCTATGAGTACAGATATTACTGTACACTTTTGGTTTTGGTAGTTACGACTACACATCATTTGAGACCACATTTATACTTTTAAGTATGGTCAATACTTGTTATTTCTCAGTCCTCTAATTTAGGACTATATATATAAAGTATTAACGAGCATGAGAACATACAGAAATTTCATTTAATTCAAATGCGTTCATGTCCATTTAAGTGCATAACATTTTCTATTAATAAGAAATGTTACTTATACATTTTGGTCTTCAGTCATAAGACTACATTACGCAGATTTTAAAGAAAATATCGGATTTTCTGGATACTCATTCTAACGATTTTACAAGGAAAACGATTTACTTTTCCAACGAAATCTCTTATGAACTCACCAACCTTTGTGTTGACACTTTTCAAAACTACTTGTATTCTCAGGAATTCAGTGAAAACAGGAAATCAACAACGTCCTGAGGATGGGACGATAAGTCGTCAAACAGTTCATTTTGTATTATAATGTAATTGATGTGAATCATGTAAACATGTGCTTTGATGTAACGTTTTCATTTATATTTGTGTTGGTTGTATTTACTTTGAGCACTATTATACTCATTGTTGTGATACTCTACATGAAGTCCTCCACCCCCGGACGTTTCCGCCATCCTTGGTTTGGGGGTGTGACAGAGGTTTCACATACTTGGAGAGATTTGGGAGAGATTTGACATTCTTGGAGAGATTTGGGAGAGATTTGACATTCTTGAAGAGATTTGGGAGAGATTTGACATTCTTGGAGAGATTTCTCATACAAAGAGAGTTTTGGGAGAAGTTTCACATACTTAGAGAGATTTGGGAGAGATTTCACATACTTAGAGAGATTTCTCATACAAAGAGAGTTTTGGGAGAGATTTCACATACTTAGAGAGATTTCAAATAGAGAGAGATAGAGTGAAAACGATTGAGAGAGGTTTCGAGTGTGGCATTTGTGAGTGTCTGGCTTCGCAATGCAAGGTCCGTAAACACTAGTAAGCCTTGTTTAAGGATCTTACACACTCCCGATGAGTATGCAACATTGTTTTATCGGTTCGGCTAGCCACGTACCACAGTTTTAGGTTAAGGAGATCTAGATGTTCGCACTTTTTGATTTATGATCTCTCATTAGAATAGAGAGTTGTGTAGAAATTTCATAATGTAAATTCTAGTACCCAAGGGCAAATTGAGTCAAACGGTTTGACTTGTTGACTTTAGTTGACTTTGACTTGACCGAAATTTGATAGTTGTCACAAGTACAAGGAATAATATCAACCTTATTATTATTTTTTCAGTTCAAATTTGCTTTCCAAAAACTAACTTTCTTCAACATCAGCTTCCAATTTTCATCAGGTATTGGGAAAGCTTAGGAAGAACGACAATAGACATGAACCTTGGTTGGTATGTTATTGGAAGTCATATAAGGTTTCTCCATTGATTTTGTTAATATTCCTTATCAAGTATCAGTTTCTCCATTGATTATTGCTTTATAGTTGGTAATTGTTTTTTGGAATTTTAAATAACATAATATATTTCTTGAAATTTTGCAGATTCCTTGGTATTGGTATGCTCTGTTACCATTTTTTGATATTCAGGCCAATTATGTTTATAGGTTTGCTTCTCTATCTCTTGCTTTTATTGGTGTTGTTGTAGCTCTATCAATCATCATCTTAATGGCTTTATGTGTTGGGTGATAAAAGTTATTCATAAATGAATTATCTTGAGCTCCACCTAAACATATTTAGTTGCACCACTAGATGGGAATAGGTTAAGAAGCTTACAAGCATGTTGGGAAAATCATCGCGAATATTTTTTCCTTTTTAAATTTGAACTTATATGATCATGGATTCCCCACATGAATTCATAAATTGATTCCAAATGGGTTATTTGTATTTAGGAATTGTTTAATGGGTTATTTGTATTCAGAAATCTAATGCATTTTTTTTATGTTTCCAAGATTGTTTATTTTGTTTTCGGGGTTTTCTTTTAAATTCAGAAACTTTTTCCAAATGGGTTATTTGTATAAAAGGGTCTTTAGTCTAGTGGTAAGGAGTGACACTCTCAAATGAGAGGTTATGAGTTCAAGTCTCGTTAGGAAACATATGTAGTTTTAGGAGTAGATTAGTTTGCTGGTAAAAAAAAATGTTATTTGTACATATGAAATATTTTATTTCATTTAGTAGGCACAAATGTCACTTAAAGTCTAAACAAGGTTTAGTTATGCATTTGCATCATGCCAAATAAAGGTGTCTTTAAAATGTTTTTAGACTATAAATATGATCTAAATGCCACTAAACTCTTAACATCTGAGTGTGGCAGAGTTGGTTTATTACGTGATGCTTTGACGATTGCAAAAAATAAGATGGCGGGAAGGGAAAAAAAGCCATCGAGAGGTTAACGATTGTGCTGAGAGTAATCGTACAGGAAAGAAGAGCATTACATCAACCATGTTCCTCTGATTTTGAAGGTAGGGCATTTTCGTTCCTTTTTTTTTTCAATTTAGTTAATTTCAGTTTACAAAAAAAGATTATAAAATAGTAAAAATATTTTTAAAAAATGGATTTAGGTATATATGGTATATTAAATGATTGAGAAGAGTAAATTTCATATTTCAATATATATTGGGTAAATTCTTTGTCATAAAGAGGTAACATAAGGGTCTTTTATTTCAAGTATTTTAGTTGAATGATGAATTTGGATATATTGTACCGAAATGTGAAGTTATAAAGATGAGACTCAAAACTATCTTATTTCTTACTGAGAATGCTCTGTTATGATAGTTCCTAATTCTTTGCTATAATGTTAGCCTTTTTTTAGTCAATGTTGACCGATTTAATAATGATAGTTACTTTATTTATATCCATTTATTTTTTAATCATCTTTACACAATTAGTTTTTTTAATGGTTTTGGTTGTTATTGAATAGCTCAGATAAGGTGAAATCTTGGGAATATATGTAAGTGAGTTTTAGGTTGTTATCACAATAAAATGTTTGTGATTATTATTTTGACACTATAGCTTCAATAGTTAAATGTAGTTAAAGAATGTTATTTTAGTGAATATTATTTGAAAATAAAGGTTCACAGTTAAAAGGTGTTGTTACTTTAGCAAAAGGTTCACAGAGGTGTTGTTACTTTGGCAAATATTGTTTGAGATTAGTAATGCAATGACATCAATACATAAATAAATAAAATATTTGTTTTAATATACATTTGCAAACACTCCATGATCAAAATAGTGCATAGATTTAAAAGCAAATAACATATTTGAGACAATGTATAGATCCATGTCTTTCAACCCTACAAAACAATATATTTTAGATAATGTATAGATCCATGCCTTCCAACCCTGCAAAAGGAGTAATTTTTAATGGTTTATTAGATAATAATATAAAGGATTTATCAAATTTACAACTTATTTATGTTAACTAATATAGTTATGTAAGTTTTAACTTTTTTTTGGTCAATTTGTATATAATTAAATGAAACTCTTACCATCTCGTGTGTATATAAATGATCGAATTTTATAACAACTTCAATAATAACGATATAAATTGATTAAAATGAATTTCCTTATATATTTGGACAAAAATTTGAAGCTTCACATAAACAATTCATTTAAAAAAAAAAGAGTAAAACCATCGATAAATGGTGCAACCACAAAATTTGTAATTTAGTATGTTGAATGTATACAAGTAGATTTTAAAATTGTTATAAAGATGCTTGTTTGTTTTTTCAGTATAGAATATACAGAGATCACATCACATTTATATTTTGATGGTGTTGTCCAACCAATCTCATCTCATTTCATCATCACCCCCAGGCCCCAAACCCCTCACCATCGGTTGAGCACTATGCAGAAATTCACACCCAATCCATAATCTTGAATTAAGAACCAAATCAATACTGCTTCAACTTACAAATTTCACTCGACAATGATGATAACCTCCTCTTCATCTTCGTCCAATTCCGCAGTAGCAGCAGCACCGTCGCCATTAATCCCGACAATCATTCTACTCCTACTATGTCTTCCTGGTCTCTTTTACTTAGCCCCACACATCCTCCCTCCACCGCCAACACCACCCATCTCCTTCCCCGAGGAACTTGAAGATCTTTCCCTTTTCCGGAGGGCCGCTGCCGTTGAATCAAACGCAAACAACCCATCTAGACCTAAATCCCATCTCGGATCCACCAATTCTAAACCCAAAATCGCCTTCCTCTTCCTCACAAACTCCGACCTTCACTTCGCCCCTTTATGGGAACGGTTCTTTAATGGCAACAAATCAAATCGTCATCTCTACTCTTTGTATGTTCACGCCGACCCAACTGTGAAGACCAAAATCAAAAGCCCTGGTGGGATTTTTTCTGAAGATCGATTCATTACTGCTAAGAAAACTCATCGTGGAACCGCCACTCTCGTCTCCGCCGCTCGTCGTCTCCTTGCCACCGCACTACTCGACGATCCTTCTAACGCGTTTTTCACGCTTATCTCCCAGCATTGCGTACCCCTTCACTCTTTCAACTTCTTTTACGATACCCTTTTCGAAGTTAAATCGCATCAAATAGCCGAATTGCGACATTTGAAGTACAAAAGCTTCATCGAGATAATTTCCAAAGATCCCAATATTTTGGACAGGTACAATGCCAGAGGGAAAGGCGTGATGGTTCCCGAAGTTCCATTTAATAAATTTCGAATGGGTTCACAGTTCTTTACGCTGACGCGGAGGCACGCACTGCTTGTGGTCAGTGATCGGCGGCTATGGAAGAAATTCAAGCTGAATTGTCTGAGGCCGCAATCGTGTTACCCTGAAGAGCATTATTTTCCAACATTGTTGTCCATGGAGGATCCAGAAGGGTGTACTGGATATACACTGACTCGTGTGAATTGGACTGATAGTGTTAATGGACACCCACATACATATTACCCGCCGGAGGTGTCGCCTGAGCTCATCTACAAGCTACGACAATCTAATTTCTCAAACTCTTACATGTTTGCAAGAAAGTTCTCACGGGATTGCTTGCAGCCATTGATGAACATGGCCACGGAAGTCATTTTCCGGGACTGAATTCTTTTGAGTTTTCTGGTAATCCCCTAACATTTCTATTTGATCTTCTATACTTAAATGTGGTTAAACAGCTATAACTGGGAATGCACTGGTAGATTATTTCATGGGAGTTGTTGATCAAACATGATAGATTTGCTATATGTGCTGATAGAAAGTGACACTTTTAGGTGTGATTGCCGTATGCTTATGTTCTTTAGTGGGACTCATTTGTCTCTTCTCTTTGTTTAGCATCATCACTTTCTGGGGTTAGGCAATGAATAAAATACATTAATATGAAGTAAAGTTCTAAACGAAAGGCCAATTTTTGGTCCCTAGTAATTAATATAGGTGTCTGTTTGCTAGGCTTTGCTTGCTTAAATTGTTTGAATTTTCAAGATAGCTTAACCTCTTGGTTTACTCACATTAGGTTGGCATTTTGTGCGTGGGTGTTTAAAGAGAAAAGAAGTTCTTATATTTGATATAATAGTGGTAGTTTAAGGTATACTATTAAAATAAAACATTTATGCTTATAAAATAGGGAGGCGGATGATTTGATTGTTGTTACAAATCTCATTTTGTAATGGGAAATTTTGAGAAAGAAACTATGGTTGAAAACATCCCCTTTGGAAGATATGCCAAATACTGAAAAATGTGTCTACCCATAGATTAGAATATGGGTAAAGATAGTCAGCAGTTTGAACTAATAGCTGCACCACGTAAAAAAATAAAAAGCATGATAAAACATTGTGCAAAATGCAGGTAACCTATTTATCAATTTAGCCACTTGACTATTCTCTAGGGATAAATTATTATACTTTTCTGACTGTTTTCAAGTCATAAATCATTTTTATTAGTTACCAGGTTTTTTGAAAAGGACAAAATACAGAAAGCACAACATACTTTCACCAATTTATCGATTTAGTCATTAAATTCTTATTAGTTTTTATAATTATCATAATATGATAACAAGTTTGGTAGCTAAATTGATAAAATGGTGAAAATGCGGTATGCATCTATTTATTTTGCCATTATATATATTTCTCTGTACTGATTAAAAAGTTATACTTTTGTCGGTTTGAAAATACAATTTTCCTCAGTTACCCTGAGCTGAAAAAAAGTGAAAAATATAAAAAAGCACAACTCTCTCACCAATCTATCAGTTGAGTCAATGAAGTATCATTTTTTATGTTATACAGAAGATAGTTAAGTAGCTAAATCGATAAAACTTTAGAAGCGCGATGTGTTTATCTATATTCCGTCCAATATGTTTTTTAGTTTATATCACTTAGTTATGTGAACCATAAGATAACTTCTTTCTCTGACTCGTTACTTACACATAAATATAAATATAAACATAAATCTAAACACAAACACAACTGCATCCTCAACTTTTTAGGATCTTCGAATTCTGGTACCCATACAAAATTGGGAGCAACAAGTGACCTAACTTGTTAGAATTTTGTATCAGGAAGATAACTCTACTAACCCTATGCTAGAAAACTGAGTTTAAAGATGACAAAATAGTTTGAGTTATAAGTATTCTGGCTAAGTATGTTACACTTGAGATGTTCACTATTTCTTCTTGTATTCACAGCCATACACCCAAGTGCTACTGGAAACTGTAAAAAAAAAGGCTAGTTAAAGGTATTCATGCCTAAAACTCAAAAGTTAAAAACCAGCACAAATGCTCAAGCAAGAAGAAAAAGAAGAAGAAGAAGAGGTGTTGACAGAAGACAATGAGCAAACAAAGATGTGGGGTTTGGAGTGTGTAACATAAGCTAATCATCCTCTGCTAGTACTAATTACTTGGAGGTCGGTGTAGTCCTTGAGTGGATTTTTTATTTTATTTTTTACTTTTACTTAACTTGTACTCCGTTTCTCCTAAGTTTTCTTACTTTTACCTTCCATGTTTCTTATGTAATTCTATTTCTTTGACAAAATTTTGAAGTTAAGTTACCTATTTGTTCATTGTATATGTTGTAAATAGTTTGATTTGTTTATCTTGTTATTTTGTATGGAGTGCTTTTTTGTCTTTTTTCTTTTTACAGATAATAGCAAAATGTAAGAAGTACACTACATTGTCTATATTGGTAGCGAAACGTAAATACATTGCTATTATGTGTAAAAGAATATCTATAACTAGGTTCCTATTATTTGTAAAAGATTACAAGTATGTTGCGATTATAAGTAAAACACATTGCAATTATGAGTAAGCAATAAAATATAGAGCTATTATGAGTAAAAAAATGTAGGTATGTTGCTATTATGGGTAAATAAAATGTTAGTGTGTTGTTACTAGTATGGGTTAATTATATTATACTACCCATATTGGTGGCACAAGTAAAATACGTTGCTATTTCCTACATTTTGCCTTTTTTCCCTTTATCTCTTCCATGTTTCATACATGTGTTTCTACATTCCATTTCTTTCACAAACTTTTGCAGTAAAGCTACCTATTAGTTCACTACATATGCTCCCAATAGTTCACGACTTTAATTATCTTTGTTAATTTCTGTGGGTAATTTGATTTAACAAAGTATGGTATGGGATTTCTATTTTTTCGTTGGGCAAAATAAGAGGATATAACAATGGGGTTTAGTCTTTTTACCAATATTTACCTGTAATAGCAATGTACTTTCCGTACTTCCATTTTTTTTTTTTCTGATAGTAGCAATATGTGACATAATAACAATGTTTTTCAGACTTGTTTTTGAAATTTCATAAATTTATTTTTCTTGTTCGGACGAGTCAGTAATATGTTGTTTTTTTTTTTAATGAAAATAAAAATACCTTAATATGACATGAAGTTAGTTTGGAATGACCAATTCTGGATGAAGCTATCGTTTTCTCAAAATACAAAAACTTAGATAAAGTTGTCGTTTTCTCAAAATACAAAAGCTTGGTTGTTCATATTTATAAGAATAGCAACTTTATAGTTGTTCAAGGTAATTTTTGGCATTTGTGACCATTTAACCATTTTTGGACGTGTATAAATAGACGTTGATTGTTTTGTTAAAACATAAGTTATATATATATATATATATATATATATATATATATATATATATATATATATATATATATATATATATATATATATATATATATATATATATATATATATATATATATATACACACTTAATTTGGGGGAGTCTTACCTACATTGGTTTTCCTTTCTACTTTTCTCACAAAACTTCCTTTTGTTTAACTTTAGCCCGTTTATTTTGTTTTTTTTTTCATTTGTGCCTGCCCTTACTTTTTCGCTGGCTCCCTCGAACCGGCTTCCCTTTTGATTTTGGCGGTTCCACCACCTTGCTGATCGTCTTCATCGTCCAATGAAATCAAGCGGTTTTGTAAAACATATCATCAAGAACGTCGACCTTCCGTCTCATCTTCTTTTGTATCTTCTTTTGTGCTCACCGGCTCTCATCTTCTTGAACCACCACTATTCCCTCTTAGAGAATTACAGGGAAGGCGATCCAGGAAAGCACCCTAAACTCATAGGGTGAAACCGAGGAAGCTTTCAAAATTTCTAGGGCTCTTCTCCTCCGCTTTATCTACTTCTCAGATTCGACTTCCCATCGATTTGCTAGCATCGATTTAGGGATTATTGTTTCAGGTATGTGACCGGTTTGAACTATCTGTTAATTTATCCCTCTTTTCTTTTTCAATTTCAATTAATTTTTCGTTGGAATCATTGGACCGTTCCTCGATTTTGCGTGAGCAATTTGTTCTTTGGTTTACTGTAGCATCAATGAAATTAGAATTTTTTTGGTTTCGATTTTTATTGTTCTTGATATTCTTAATTGTCACACCCCCGAACCGTCAGAAAAACAACAGCGGAAAGGTCCGGGGGCATCGACGTCATACGTAGTATCACAACAATCGTATCATAGCAATCAAAGTAAACACAACCATTACATTACATTATGAATATTTACATTTGTTTGAAAACATAGTTTGTACATAATATTATATAACAAAAGATAAAGACGAGACTCCAAAATGCTCCATCTTCTCCAAAAGCTGGCTAGGTACCTGTCTATCATTGTCTTGAGAATACAAACGGTTTTGAAAACGTATCAGCATAAAGCTGGTGAGTTCATAAGCATGTTTTTGTATTGAAAACTAGTCACTGAATTTGTATAAATGTTTTCTTTCCATTATAAGTAAATATCGTTTGTATCGAAAACCGTTGTTATCAAGATCTTAAATGTGTACTCATGATTACCAAGAAAGTCCAATATTTTCTAACATGTTTGTTGGTTTCTGTATGTAAAGTACGTTCTGTTTGAAATGATGGGTTTTGTACATAAGAACATTCCTAAGTGTGCATACAAACCCTAATGCTTGGATCTAGGTTTCTCTATTAAACATGCTTTGAATCCAAGGCTTCTAATGACTTATTAGGTGTAAGAACAACACAAAATCAGATCTAGAAACATACCTTTGATTCTCTTGTTTGATCTTGTTGTCTTGGAGCTCTAGAGTCACAATTGTCACTCCTCTAATGGCTTACAAACACCAACTAGCAAAGAGGATGATTTGAGAGAGAGGAGAGGGGATGGAATTCGACCAGAGTATCCTTACTTTGGAAGATGTGTCTAATTCTCTATCCCATAGGGTCTATTTATACTTGCAGACTCCTTAAGGGTTACAACTTAAACCCTAGTTGGATAACTATTACTCAAAGCAATCCAAATCCTTCCAAGATAATGCCTTGGACGAATTTAGGACTTATCCTAGCCTAGAATTCATCCAACCCTTTATCCAATAAGGATTTACAGTCTAAAGTTTAACTATCAAGCAATTGATAGTTTATACCCTCTTATTTAATTAATCTCCTTAAGTCACCAAATTAATACTAATTAATCTATGACTTATATTAATCAAATAACTATATTATTATTCCATATTAATAATATCTATTCTCTCATAATAAATCATCCTACCAAGTTGCTATGGTGAAGGCAACCCAAAAGGACCATGCACAATTGAGTCAAATACTTGCCTAATATAGTTGCAGCCTTAGACACTATTCCAACAGTCTCCCACTTAGATAAGTCTAGTAACTATATGCGCATGTACATTCCGATTCGCAATCGTAGCTCTCAAAGATGCTGCCCAAACTCTGATCTAATCAATCTTGTCCTTCAGATAAGGGATCGTACAGTCCTCTGTTAGATATCATGCTGACAATACTATGGAAAAGTTAGTCTAGCATTTGGTTTCTCGATTTCCGATTTATTTGACATAGAACTTAATCGAACACATCAATTTAGTTTTTGACCGGGCCCGACACATAAGTCAAATCAAATCATCGAGCGGCCGAGATATCACTTTTTCCTTCTTAGGATAAAAGTTACAGATAAACTTCGACTTATATGCATTTACTTATTCATTAACCAACTACACACAACAATGTGTTTTATAACATCGAGTTACCAATGCGTTTTCGCATTATCAATGTACAATCAATTAACCAATAACAAACCATATATCTAGGTTTTAAGACTATATGATATTATCGTCTTGCGATCACCCATTTACTATCACATTCCATAAGGTGATTCCAGTAAGCGCGAGTTTGTTCCAACGCTCAAACCTAGTTCATAAGCACTCATGAATGTTGCAACAATCTTTTGCTATGTCTAACACCATTTAGACACTCTACACACCTATTCATGACAATCTTCATTCATATCTACTTCCGACATATGAACGATTGTGGACAATTTGAACAATTCGATTATTCTTAATAAACTCAATTATTCTGGAAGTCAAAACATGCAAAGTGAAACAATAGTTAAACAATTAACATATGACAGTAACATTACTTATAAATAAAACTCCTTTATTTATTCATCAAATGTTAATTACATTTATCTATTACACGTTTCTAATACTATCTAATCTATGCTAATATCATCCTTCAGCCCAATACTCCTAGCATGCTGCAAATGCTTAACCCTACTCAGTCCCTTCGTAAGCGGATCTGTTGGGTTATCTTCCGATGATATTCTCTTCACTACGAGTTGTCCTTCTTCTACACGATGTCTAATAAAGTGATATTTTATGTCGATATGTCGTGATCTACCATGATCTCTCGGTTCCTTGGTCAAGGCAACCGCTCCCTCATTATCACAGAAAATCTCCATGGGCTCCTTTATGGCAGGTACAACTCCAAGATCACTAATGAAGTTCTTTAGCCATATTGCCTCCTTCGACACTTTGCTCGCTGCGATGTACTCTGATTCGCATGTTGAATCAGCTACGGTTTCCTGCTTAGAACTCTTCCAAGTAACTGCTCCTCCATTCAGGGTAAAGACCCAGCCCGACTGCGAACGGTAGTTATCCCTGTCAGTTTGAAAACTGGCGTCACTATACCCTCGCACCTTCAAGTCATCACTCCCTCCAAGGACTAAGAACCATTCCTTCGTCCTCCGAAGGTACTTAAGGATATTCTTCACCGCAACTCAATGGGCTCTGCCTGGATTCCCTTGATATCTACTAACCATTCTCAAAGCAAAGGCTACATCAGGGCGAGTACAAGTCATAGTGTACATGATTGAGCCTACTGCGGAAGCATATGGAACTCGACTCATTTAAGCTATCTCGACTTCGGTACTCGGGCTTTGAGTCTTACTCAACTTGGCATTGCTTTGTATCAGTAATTCTCCCTTCTTCGAGTTTTCCATACTAAAACGTTTTAGTACCTTCTCTAAGTAAGTGTTCTGACTAAGTCCTATTAGTCTCTTACTTCTTTCTCTTACTATCCTTATTCCCAAAATATAGGAAGCCTCTCCAAGGTCCTTCATAGCGAAGCACTTCCCGAGCCAGGACTTTACTTCCTGCAGAGTCGGGACGTCGTTTCCTATGAGTAATATGTCATCGACATATAGAACGAGAAAGCTTACTACACTCCCACTGGCTTTAACATATATACACCATTCATCTTCGCTTCGTACAAATCCAAACTCTTTGACTTTCTCATCAAAGAAAAGATTCCACCTGCGAG